AACTAAAAAAAATCGCTTTTATGTTTGTTTGTTTGTCTTTTCTTGGCGATTGTCTTCTATCTCCTTTCGCGTGAGATCCTTTATTATAGATACAGAAATTCCATACAGATAAATGTGTGTGTGTGTGTGTGTGTGTGTGTGTGTGTGTGCGTGTGCGTGTGTGTGTGTGCGTGTGTGTGTGTGCGTGTGTAAGTATTTGTGTGTGCGAGCATGTCTGTAGTCGTGTGTACGCGTGTTCGTGCGTATTCGTACGTAAGCTCGTAAGTGCATACGCAGGTGTTCGTTAACGCACGTAAACGAATTCGTTCATGCACGTACGCAAGCCCATACGTGTAGGCACGAGTGTTCGTACACGCATCTACCGTGGCGCGTCAGGAATAGCATCCTCGTGCCCCCCAAAAAGGCTGACTTTGGGCGTCAACTCCTTTTTCTCGTTAGGGTTTGGATGCCGGACGCGTGAGGGCTCGTGACGTCACTGTTCGTGGAGGCGGAGCCATATCGTCGAGCCGAGAATTAGCTCCGCCCCCTGCTTCTGCGCATGCGTGACGCTGTTTCGTCGCCTGACCCCTTCGATGCCCGCCAATTCGAGTTCGATAGATGCCAGTTAGGTTGCTTATTTCTAATAACCTATGCAAAGTTAGGAAGAGCGAGAAAGAGGGAGGAGAGAGAGAGAGTAGGGGAGGAGAGAGAGAGAGAGAGATAGAGAAGAGGGAGGAGAGAGAGAGAAAGAGGGAGGAGAGACAGAGAGTGGGGAAGCAGAGAGAGAGAGAGAGAGAGAGAGAGAGTAAGAGCGAGAAAGAGGGAGGACAGAGAGAGAGAGAGAGGGGGGGGGGGGAGAGAAGCCGTTAGATTTTATACACGTTCTGGATGTGATTCCCACGGCGCCGTTTCTAGACTGAAGTGTACGACAGTTTCGCCGCACCTTTTGCGCCTGGCAGCGGCAATCTGTGACGTCACTCCCAAACCTGGGACGTCCGGGTTTTGGAAAAAAAAAAAAAAAAAAAAAAAAAAAAGATGAAGCCCAAAGAATCAATTTTTTGGAAATAAGAATGATTAATGAGAAGGAATATATGCAGATCAATTTTTTTTTTTTTTTTTTTGGGGGGGGGGGGGGCTTAGAATATGTATTATCTTTTGCTCTTATTATTTGTTTGTTTTTTTGTTTTTGTTTGTTTGTGGGATATGTATTTCTTTCTCTCTCTTTGTGTGTTTGTTTGTTATTGTCTTGGGTTGGAATATGTCGGTGGTGTTTATCTTGTGTTTGTTTGTATTTGTTTTAGGTTAGAAAATGTAGATTGTTTTTGCTCGCTTGTTTTGGGACTAGACTAAGTCGATTGTGTTTGTTTGTTTGTTTACCCTTTGTTTGTTTTTCTTTTTGTTTGTTTAGGAGTTTAGAATATGTATTTTGTTGTTTGTTTGTTTTTCTTTGTTTTTTTTTTTGTTTGTTTATTTTTGTTTTAGGTTAAATATGTCGATTGTTTTTATCTTTTCTTTGTTTGTTTGTCTTTGTTGTAGGTTTGAATATTCCGATTTTTTTTCTTTTTTGTTTATTCATGTTGATTGTATTTCTTTTTTTGTTTGTTTGTTTGTTTGTTTTTCTCTTGGGTTTAGCATATTTTTTTTCGTTTCGTTTGTCTGTCTGTCAATTGTATTCCTTCGTTTTTTTTGTTTGTTTGTTTTTGTTTTCGATTCTGAATGTTTTTTCTCTCTCTGTTTATTTCTTTGTGTTTGTTTTTGGTTAGAATATGTCAATTGTTTTTTTTTTCTTTGTTTTTTCTTTGTTTTTTAGTTGTTTTGGGTTAGAATATGTCATTTTTTTTTCTTTGTTTTTTGTTGTTTTGGGTTTGAATATGTCAATTGTTTTTTTCTGTTTGTTGTTGTTGTTGTTGTTTTTTGGGTTAGAATATGTCAATTGTTTTTTCTTTTTTTTTTTTTTGTTTTTTGTTTTTTAGTTGTTTTGGGTTTGAATATGTCAAAAAATCTTAGTTTTTTTAGTTGTTTTTGGGTTTGAATATGTCATTTTTTTTTCTCTCTTTTTTTAGTTGTTTTGGGTTAGATATGTCAATTGTTTTTTTCTTTTTTCTTGTTTTTTAGTTGTTTTGGGTTAGAATAAATCATTGGAATGTTTCTTTTTTTTGTTTTGGTTGTTTTGGGTTAGAATATGTCAATTGTTTTTTTCTTTGTTTTTCTTTGTTTGTTAGTTGTTTTGGGTTAGAATAAAATTATTGGAATGTTTCTTTTTTTGTTTGTTTGTTATCTATTTATCGAATTCAAGATATGTGGATTGTTTTTGTTTTTGTTTTTGTCTTTTGATTACTTGTTTTGCGTAGTTTTGTTTACTTCTTTGTTTTGCTTGTAATTATTTTTTTTAATGGATTAGTTTCCTTTTTGTTTGTTTGTTTGTTTTTGTGTTTGTTTTCTTTCGTCATGGTTTTAAGACAAGTGGTTAGTATTTTGTTTTGTTGTTTATTTGTTTTTCTTTTCGTAACATGTTTAAAACAAGTGAGCGGTTTTCCATTTTTTTTTCTTTTCTTTTTTTGTTTCTTTGTTCTAAAGGAGTGGATAGTTTCTCTCTTTTGTTTGTTTGTGTTTTTTATCCCGAGATGAAAAAGATAATAATAATAATAATAATAATAAAAAGTGTTCTTGATTCGTATTGTCTTTTTTTTTGGGTTTACTTCCCTTTTNTTTATTTGATATATTTATAAAATCTTTACTTTATTTTGATTATATTATTATCTTTACGTTATCTCAGATCTAAGATAATCTTTACTTTTATTTTGATTATATTAATAATCTTTACTTAGTTAGAGAAAGAACACATAGTCCTTGCTATCTACTCATCAGCTTAGCGTGGGAAGGAATTGTAACTCCACCATGGAGGTTATGTTCTAGGCAGCGTTGGTTAGTCTGTCGGTTGTTTAGCAGGATAACTCAAAAAGTTATGAAGGAAACTTTGTGAAATTTGTACCCGAGGTGTGTCTTAGCCTAACTGAGGTGCCGTTAGAGTTTGGCGGTGATCTGAGTCAGGGTTAGGATTCTGCGCGGAAATAACTCGAAAAGTGATTTGCAGGTTTTTATGAAATCTTATGAATATTTTTGACAGAGCTGTTTTGTCCCAGTTTAGATGCCATTATTTTTTTTTAATGCAATAATTCAAGTGGAATTATCTTCATTGCATCAGTGACCTTATTTTATTTGTCGGGGTCATGCGCTGAGTGCTTCTAGTTACATTTTTCATGTGGTCATTCAATACTACATTCCCTCTCTCACTCCTTTATCTCCTCTCCTCTCTCTCCTTTCTTTCTTCTCCCTCTCTCTTCATGTTTTCTCTTTCTCCTCTCCTCCTTTATCTCCTCTCTCTCTCTCTCTCCTTTCTTTCTTCCCTCTCTCTTTCATGTTTTCTCTTTCTCTCTCTCTCTCCTTTGACTTTCTCCTTTATCTTTCTCTCTCGTTTCTTTCTTGCCTCTCTCTCTCTCCTTCTCTTTCTCTCTCTCTTCTTTCTTTTCTCCTTTATTTCTCTGTCTCTTTCTTTCTTTCCTCTCTCTCTCTCTCTCTCACACACACTTTCTTTCTTTCATGTGGTCTTGCAATAATACATTCCAAATTTAGGATAAAACATACGTATATCTTCTAAAAATTACCGAGTCAAGTGAAATATGATGTGATTTCCGTAGAATTTATATGAAAAGGTTGAAATGGTTTGCGTGTGTGAACTAATAGATGGTTACTCCTTAGAGATTAATTGTTTGTATCTATTATGATTTTTTCTTTTTTCTTTCTTTTCTTTCTTTTTCTTTCTTTCTTTCTCTCTCCTCTCTCTCTCTCTCTCTCTCTCTCTCTCTCTCTCTCCTCTCTCTCTCTCTCCTCCTCCTTTGACTTTTTTCTTACTCTCTCCCCTCCCTATCTCTCTCTCTTCTTTCCTTTCTCCTTTATTTCTCTGTCTCTTTTCTTTCTTTCCTCTCTCTCTCTCTCTCTCACACTTTCACACTTTCTCTCTCTCTCTCTCTCTCTCTCTCTCTCTCTCTCTCTCTCTCTCTCTCTCTCTCTCTCTCTCTCCTCTTCTCACTCTCTCTCTCACTCACTCTCTCTCTCTCTCTCTCTCTTCTCTCTCTCTCTCTCTCTCTCCTTCACTCCTTTATTTCTCTCTTTCCTTTCTTTCCTTCCCCTCTCTCTCTACCCTTCTCTCTCTCACTTTTCTCTTTCTCCCTCTCGATCTCTCCTTTATCTCTCTCTATATATCTATCTATCAATCTCTTTAACATTACCATTACTATTACTTTTATCATCACTGGTGTTAGTGGTAGTGGTTTTAGTACTATCATTACCATCATTTTATTGTCTATCATCTATTACTGTTAGTAAATTTTTCACTATTTTTTCTTCTTCTTTTTTTCATTCTCCTTACATTTTTCTTTGTTTTTGTTAGTTTCCGTTTATTTTTTTCTCTCTTTCCCTTTTGGTTTGTTTGCATTTGTATTTTTGTTTGCTCAATTTGCCTTCTTCCTCTGTTTTAACCCACTTTTTAGTTTCTATTTTATTCATCTTTTGAATTAATTTCTTGTCTATTTTTATTTTCTTTATCTTTGACTTTTTACTTTTCTATGTTCATTATCTTTCTTTTCCCCGTCTCTTATTGTTGATTTTATTTTTCGTTAATCATATATGTGTGTGTGTGTGTGTGTGTGTGTGTGTGTGTGTGTGTGTGTGTGTGTGTGTGTGTGTGTGTGTGTGTGTGTGTGTCAGCCTTTAATTACCGACATAGAATTCATAAAAACAAACTGTAGATAAAATATTTTCATTTCAATATGTACAATTTATGCAAGATACTGCTTGAATGAATATATCAATTCCATTTAAAGGTTGCTTTGGTATTGCATATCCATATGGTATCATTTCATATTAATACCGATACTAATGAAGATTCTAACACTATGAGCAGAAAATAAATAAGCATTTGTAATAATTCCAGTGAGGGCAAGAGTCTCCTTTCCTAAGTGTCATCCCCTTTCAGACAGGGAGAGTCCTTTAGTCCAAGGCGCCGGCGTCTGCGCCCCGTGGCTGGAGGGGGGACGCGTGGCCTTCGGCGCGAGGGCGAGGTGGCCAGGTGGGCCTCCAGGATGGCGATCCGCTGCCGCCGTCTGGTCTTGTCCGCCGTCAGGAGGCTGAGCTGGGCCTTGACTTGGTCCAGGTCGTGCTGCAGGTGTTCCCTGCTCTCCTTGGCCCTCTGGCGGCTGAGGCGAGCCCTCAGGGCCCGGACTCGCTTCCGCTCCAGCTGAGGGTCGTCCTGCGGCGGCCACTGGTGCATCCTGGGGCTGGGCTCCCAGCCGAGAGGACCTTGTCCTTCCTGGCCCAAGGACGCCGAGGGCCGGGTCTCTCCTGCGCCCGCTGAGGGACTCGCCCACGCCTCCAGCACGGCGGGCAGGTGGGCGCTGCCTGCGGCCGGTCCTGCGGCGGAGCCTGCTGCTGGCGGCGGACAGGGCTGGGCTGGTCCCAGCTGCTGTGCTCCTCGTAAAGGGCTCCGCCAGAAGGGGCGCTGCACTCTCCAGGTCCGTCGCTAGACTCTCCCGACGAAGGAGAGTGGACTTGAGGGGCGTCCAGCAAGTCCAGATCGAAGTCTCGACAGGCGGAGTCGTACAGGGACGCCAGGTCGCAGGACGGCGACCCAGAGAGTCCGTTGGCTGGAAACATGGTCGACGTTCGTTGCCTGGACGCAGGAGCGGCAGTGGGCGGCAGGGGCGCGCGTGCGGCTTATATACGAGCCAAGGACACGGGCCAAGGATCCGGGGATTCCTTCAGGAGGGAACTACCGGCGACTCGTCTCCTACTTGCCAGGAGCGGAAAGGAGTCGACACACAGGTCGCCTCGACGATTTTTCCTTCCCTCGAAGCGATGGGGACTGACCCTCGAGTGACGCGTTGTTCTGCGCCCGTCCTGCTGAGTGACGGTATGCTTCGTTTCGCGTGGGAGTCTTCAACAATTGCATCACGTCTTCGATCCACTTCCGTCCCGCGGTTCCCTCCATTGTTCTCATTCTCTTTCATGTCCATTGACAGTACGTAACGCGTGACTACTCCCTCTGTTTTCATGTTGCATTTGATACGCAAGCTCGCTCGTTTTGGAATGGCCTCGCTTATCATCTTTAAGTGAATTAAGGCTTGATATTCGAGCTGGAATCTAGACCGCGCGAGAGTTTGCTCAAAACAGACTATGAATTAAAGTTTCATCACGATAAAGTAGCGACTTCTGCAGATTCGAGGATTTGCCTTCCGTGCAAAACCTGAAATGCACGAGAAGAATACCTGTGGAGAAAAGAAGAAAGGAATTCAATTTTTTCTTTCGGCTTTTTTTTCAAATTTTCAATTTTCAAATTTTTTCAAAAAAAAAAAATAAAAAAAAAATAGGAAAATCGTCTGGCAACATCGTCTTCGAATACATAAGCATACATACACATCCACTACATTCACATATCCCTTATAAATGTGAGCGTGAGAGAGAGAGAGAGAGAGAGAGAGAGAGAGAGAGAGAGAGAGAGAGAGAGAGAGAGAGAGAGAGATGAAGGATGGAAAATGACATTAATCTTTTTCTTTCTTTCCTTATCTTTTTCTCTTTGTCCGAAAGATCACTTGCATCTACGTTGTGCTCTCTGCTGACTCGTAAACATCCTTCGCGATTGTGGTCCTTCTTGTGGCAGATTACGTCAGCGGGAAAGTAATCGCTGAATAATTTCTGCTTAAATAGCGTAGCTTCAAATTCTTTTCCACAAACGTTTTTCCCTTTCATTTTCTTTGTTATATGCATGAAGTTTATCCATATCGGAAAAAAATCGAGGAATGACTGACCAGCCAAGCAGTGGAATCACTCGACAAAAAGCAATCAAGACAAGAAGTTCGCTGTAAATAGGGATGCTCAAGCTACAAAATACTTCAGTGTTTAGTTTAGTTTACCCTTCAATACCTGGGACTTCGTTCGTGGTACTGATTGGCCCTCTCTCTCTCTCTCTCTCTCTCTCTCTCTCTCTCTCTCTCTCTCTCTCTCTCTCTCTCTCTCTCTCTCTCTCTCTCTCTCTCTCTCTCTCTCTCTCTCTCTCTCCCTCTCTCTCTCTCTCTCTCTCTCTCTCTCTCTCTCTCTCTCTCTCTCTCTCTCTCTCTCTCTCTCTCTCTCTCTCTCTTGCTTGCATTCTATCTGCCTTCTCTCTCTTCATATATATATATATATATATATATATATATATATATATATATATATATATATATATATATATATATATATATATATATATATATATATATATGTGTGTGTGTGTGTGTGTGTGTGTGTGTGTGTGTGCGTGTGTGTATGTGTGTGTGTGTGTGTGTGTGTGGTGTGTGTGTGTGTGTGTGTGTGTGTGTGTATGTGTATGTATGTATATGTATATGTATATATATATATATATATATATATATATATATATATATATATATATATATGTATGTATGTATGAATATGTCGATCTCTCTCTCTCTCTCTTTCTCCCTCTTTCTTTCTTTCTCTTTATCTCTCTATCTATCTATCTATCTATCTATCATCTCTCTTCTATCTATCTATCTATGTGTCTATCACTCAATCTATCTCTTGTATGTGTCAACAGATTTCGAGTCCTCTTCACTGACTCGATTCTATAAACAGAACCTTTTATCTATGGCGTCAGTTGAGCAGTGCCGAGGATGGAAATGAAACGATTAGGCGTTAATCAATCTCGTTAATTAAAGAATACAGCTTTAATTGGCCAACATCCACGTCATGGCTGGTTATAAATTCGGAACTGCACGCGGGTTCATATCCATAGCACAGCAATAGCATTATCCCCACTCCGTCCATCTGCTCTTGAGACTGCACCTCCAACTGGGACTCGAGGAGAGCGATCTTCCGCTTGAGCGCCGCGTTCTCTGCCTGGAGTCTGCCGATGACGCCGGCCATGCAGGTCATCTGCTCCCGCGTGGCCCCTCCCTGGGACGCCCTCTGGCGGCTCCTGAAGGCCCTGACGGCTCGCCTGCGCCGCCTCTCCAGCTCGGCTCGCTCTGGCGGCCACTCGCGCCGGCTGCCGCCCCTCGCGCGGCACTGCGACCAGCGAGCAGGCAGGATCTGCTGCGCCCCCCCGGGAGCCGCTCCCGCAGGAGGGGCGTCTTCGCAGGCGCCGCTGCCGATCGCAAGGCCCGCGAGCCGGAGGGCGTCGGCGCCGCGAGGACTCCACTCAGCGGGAGGCCAAGGGCAGCGCGCGGCCGCAGGAGAGTCCCCGGACTGGCGGCCGAAGGAGGGACTGGGGTCGGACCAGGGCAGCCAGTGGCAGCCGCCGGAGGGAAGTCCGTCGCCCAGGATAGCCTGAGCTCCTGCGGGCGGAGGGAGAGGCCCGTCCTGCGGCCGCGGGAGGCACTCGTCCAGCAAGTGAAGGTCGAAGGAGCGGAGAACATCCTCCTGGGCGGAGGACGCCGTCGGAGGAGGCGCAGGAGTCTCCGAAGGCCCTCCCAACGGCATCCTGGAGGCGATGGCACAGAGGACCGCCCGAGAGACGGCCGGAGCCTGCAGGCGAGGAGCAGCGACTGACCCTCGCGAAGCCCGAGGAAAAATACCGTCTCGAGTATCTGCGAGTATCTGCGAGTATCTGCAAATATATCAGCGAATTGTCGGGGTCGATTCCTAAGGAGAGATAAGGTGCAAGTCGCGTGGATTTACCAGCAACACAAACAGGATGCATAAGATGTATTTATTTATTCATTTATCTATTTTTTATTCGTCCTATGTTTTCCTCAGATGCAAAATGCCAGAGATTTAGAAATTAATATCCTTTTTCTTTTGTTTTGATTCCCATGGAAATCACAATTATCATACGATTATCATTCGTTTCGTTATTCCTAATTGTTGTCATAATAATTAGGAATATATAATTAAACTATAGTGAAGGTTATTCTTACCAATTTTGATAACTCGCGTTACTATCAACAACAGCGTCAAAAGAAACTGTTTGCTTTATCAACTATCGCAGCGATAATATTTCTCTCTCTCTCTCTCTCTCTCTCTCTCTCTCTCTCTCTCTCTCTCTCTCTCTCTCTCTCTCTTCTCTCTCTCTCTCTCTCTCTCTCTCTCTCTCTCTCTCTCTGTATCTATCTATCCATATATATATGTGTGTGTGTGTGTGTGTGTGGTGTGTGTGTGTGTGTGTGTGTGTGTGTGTGTGTGTGTGTGTGTGTAAATACAATCGCAAGCGAGAATATGTCTCCCTCCCCCCCCTCTCTCTCTCTCTTTACTCTCTCTGTTTATCTATATATCTCTCAGCGGGGAAAAATAGATAAACAAAAGCGACAAAGGGGATACAAAGATGGCGTGATATACAGCAGGTCTGTCCTTGTTAAAATGCCCACAAACGCATCTTTATCAACACAAAAACACAAAGGAAACAGAAGGGAAAAAAAGAATGTATTTGCCTCCTCCCCCTGACGTAATATGCAACTTTTTTTTTTTCTCGTGCTTGCGTTTGCTCTAAGAGACAGTAATAATTTGATAAAATTGGTAATGGTGATAATCTTGTTTTAATTCCATTTGCTACGATGGATATTCCTTGTACTGTGACATACTGTCTGTCTCTTTGCACCTTAATTCCCCATCGTGTGCAAGGGATGGCCGGGATGACCATCCACTGGCAGCGCGCGGGACCAAACGCAGGTCAAGATTGCGAGAGGGCTACCGTTGCACTGCACAGCACAGTATTTTGCGTAAAACGTGTTGTGTCAGACAAATGATTCTCTTCCGGCTCCTGTGTTGATAGAGATAGATAGATTTAGATGATGATATGAATATAGATGAAAATAGGTATATAGGTAGGTAGGTAGGTAGATCGATAGAATAATGTAAGTAAAGATCTAGATGTAAATAGATCAACAGATAGCTAGGTAGGTCGATAGATAAATAGATAGATAGACAGTCAGATAGACTCATACACGGGGCACTGATTAAAAATTTCCCCCTTGTCCGCTTATCCTAGGAGGTTGAAATTTCACATGCTAAAAGATACACAAGTTCCTCTCTTTAACTCTGAACATGTTCTCCGTTACAGCGGTGGAGGTGCAATAAGGTGTGAAAATGGCACCAGCGCAGTATCGAACAGTGATCAGACTTTTTCTCCGTGAAGGGCCGCACAACTAAGGAGTCCTTCGATGGAATGAAAGCAGCTTACGGGGAGGATGCCCCATCATACGACGCTGTTAAACATAGGCAACGCTAGTTTAGGTGTGGCTCCTATCCCAGGAGGATCCCAGTCGGTCATTGATGTGGACAATATGCATCAAGTGGAGAACGCCATTTGGGAAGATTGTCATGTTCCTGTTCTTCAACTAGCCCAAGAGGTCAAGATTAGCGTTGGATCTGTGAGCAAAATCATTCAAGACCGTCTGCAAAAGTTATCTGCTTGATAGGTTCCCCAAGTTACTCACACCTATTCAGAAGCAGGAACGAGTCCATTGTTTTAAGGCTCATTTCACCATGTGCCAAGAAAACCCAGACTTTTTTGGGCAGACTAATTATGCAGAATGAAAATTAGGTCCATCACAATGATCCGGAAACTATGGCTCAATCAAAATGGAAGCACTTCGAGTCACCACCCGCCGGAAAGGCACGCATCACACCCTTGGCAAGGAACGGCATGCTCACAGTCTTTCGAGACCAGCATGGAGTAGTGATGATGGATTTCCTGGCAAAAGGTGCTATCAATTACATGAGCTTACTACGCTTCATCATAAAAGAAATTGCGGGAGGCTATCAGAACCAAGAGGGGCGGAATGTTGACCAAAGGTGTCCGCCTCCTACAGGACAACGCCCCTGTTCACAACCCTCTTGTTGCCGAGATGGAAGCGCAGTTCCGTGGCTATGATATCCTTCCTCATCCTCCTTGTTCTTTATACCTTGTATCATCTGACTTTTCTGTTCGTGAAGTCGTCTTTGAAGGGCAAATATTTCCAAGATGATGGAGCACTGATTCCTGAAGTCACTTCATGGTTTAAACAATCTTCGGACTGCGAACTTCACCAATATTGCCAAAAAAAAACGCTACAAGTTA